GAGACATTTTGAAGTTGATGGATGAATAGGTGAATGTGGAAATGTACTTCTGACGATGACTATCATTGTTTTAATCAAAAAAATATCTCAAAAATTGCCTGTATATTAAATCTAGGCAATAAAATAAAGCGCTAGACAAATTCTCTAAACAGAATGATGGCACCAGCACATTTCTAAGATTGCGCAATCACCTGCAACTCAATTTCTACAAGCAGCAACAACGCAGCATCCATTCATCGTCAGACCGACCAATCAGACCTCACGAACATTACGTAAAAGTTTATTTTTAGTAACCCCAACTTCTTTAAATACGACAGGTACGTTCATTTCGTTAGCTTTTGGTTCCTGAATCCATTTCTGATGGCGGATTGGAAATGGATTTTGTCGAGAACTAAATAAAAGTTCCAGCTTACTTCGTAACTTCGAGGTCCTTTCGCGGGCCTTGAAACACCTGGTTGGTTGAATCTGCGGGCCAAAGCAACCTCGCAATCGTCCCTGGACGCTAGGGGTTGGTCCGTACGATTTGCTGGCCCCCGAGTTCATTCTACTCGATATTTGGTTCGATATCGGTTCACGTTAGCCGGTATTGTTGATATCCAGTACCGATAGAATGGATCTGCGGGGCTTGCAGTCCTGTCGTCGTTTGAAGCGTTTCGGAGAATCAATCTCAGGCAGATGAACCGCGACTCGACTTCGAAGTTACATCAGCAGTAGCAGGCAGGCAGGCTTGAGGTTGTTTCTACTTCACTTCAATATCAAATCGACCATCTCAATGCTCATCCATTATTCTTAATGTTCCTTCCAAACGAGCCAATGAACAACCTTTCGACGCACACGCACACACAGAAAGAGAGAGAGAGAGAATAAAAGAGGGAGAAATGAGATGAGGTCCTAAAAAGCGATAAATAATTAGATCTTGCAATGCACACAAGTGAACGAACGAAGGCAGCTTATGAATTATTCAGCGACCGACCGACCGACCGACCGACCAGCCAGCCAGCAATCGTCATATTTATGTTGATATTATTTCATTTAGACGGACAGATGGGCAGGTGAGTTTTGCTAAGTTGCTGCTGACCAAGTCGGTGTAGTTGGTGGCTTCTACCAGGAATACAAAAACACATATACAAATAGAGACCACACACATATACAAATAGAGACCACACACATATACAAATAGAGACCACACACATATACAAATACAGACCACACACATATACAAATACAGACCACACACATATACAAATACAAACCACACACATACAAATACTGACCATACACATATACAAATACAGACACACATACACATTACACAATCAACAGACATTTAAAAGGACACAGTGTAAGCATTTAAATAAATAAACAAATAAGAAAGCCTATAATAAATAGATAAATAGACATACATAGAAGCGTACAAGCAAGCATATAAACACGCACACACACACACACACTCAGGCAGGCACGCACACAGATCTGTGTAGAAGAGGAAATGTAATAAAACTGATGATTTATATGTCAGCCGTATGCATAGAGTAGTGACAGGCTACAAACAACACAAACAAATGAATGAATCAATGAACGAGTGAATGAAAAAATTAATTACTCATTAAATAGAATTTAATTTGAAATAGAACAATGAGAAAAATATCATTTAAATTTAAATTCTAAAAATAGAAATTGACGCATGAAAATGCATCCAATTAAAATTTAGATTTTCAAAAATGAAGCATAATTTATGCAAATTAACTCGGCCACTGACCTTTGCCCTGGCCGCTTCTGTCCAATAGGACGAGGCCGCTATCCGTACCAATCAACAAATTGACTCCTGAGATGATAAATGAAAGATGGACAGAGTGAAAATAAAAGAATGAGTGATGAGTGAACGAGTGAATGAATGCATCAATGAGTGAATGATTGAGTGAATGAATTTATGCATTAATGAGTAATGAATCACAAACAAAGATGGGTACATGGAGAAAGAAAATGCATGCATCATGTATGTATGTATGTATGTTTGCATACTCGTAATGCATTGTATACGTACGCATGTATGAATGAATGAATGAACAAACGAATGAAAGAATGAATGAATGATTGAGTAAACGTCCAGCAAAAATTTATGACTTACATGAAAAAAATAAAATATGGATGGATGGACGGATGGATGAATGACTGATTGACTGAAAGAAAGAAAGAAAGAAAAGAAAAGAAAAGACAGAATGAATGATAAAGTGGCTAGATAAAATCATGGATGGACGGATGAGAAGAAAGATGGATGGATGGATGCAACGGAAAGGGTCAATGGATGGATGGAAAAAAGAATTGTTTTAAGATGAATCGTTTCAGCAAATAAACTGATGGATGGATGGTACATGTATATGTACATACACATGATATATATATATATATATATATATATATATATATATATATATCATATATTTTTAAAAAGAAAACCCCACAAACACATGTGCACGCACGCACACAAACACACAAATAAGCACACGCACACAAAAACAAATAGCATTAATAACAACAACAATAAAGAATATTTATTTAATTACAACTAAAAGTTTACGCCAAATATTTCTAACTTTTTTTCACTTGGCAAATTTGATGAGGCAACTTTCAAATGTACCCAACAAACTTAACATTAACCAGTTTAATTCAATTTAATCTAGTAGTAATAGTAGTAATAGTAGTAGTAGTAGTAGTAGTAGTAGTAGTAGTAGTAGTAGTAGTAGTAGTAGTAGTAGTAGTATTAATAATAGTAGTGATAATTCTTACAATGTGGAGACTAGAACAAGAAATATGAATACATGTTGAGATGCAATAGTAGGCGAACCGTTGCAAACATGTGCAGGAACACGGGAATGTGGAATTTAAAGCATGTACCTGAATATGTCCAAACTACAAAACATGCACCAGCCGTGTGTTTGTTCGTTCGTTCTTTCGTTCGTTTGTTTGTTAAGAGTGTATGTATGCGAACGTGTACACACGGACACAAACATACACACATACAAAATTATACAAACACGCACAGGCAACCAGATACAAACAAATGACAAGATGTCTTTCGCTCATTTAGTTGAATGTAATTAGATGATGGCACCTAATCTAGATTGATGTACGTACGTATGGGTCCTCCGCTACTTAGAAGCATTAACCATCGAAAAGAGTAAGTAAGACGGGATGAATGTTACAAATGAACGCTACAAAGAAAGATCCTTACAAATTAAACAAACATTAATTGATTTTAAAATTCTAAAAAAAACCTGTTGAACCAAAAAAGCCCCAATTAAAGAGAAAAGCCCAGTGTAATAGTAAATTTCGAACCCCTCTAACCATAACCTCTTAAAAACCACCCAACGAACTCCATTAAAAACCACCCACCACGGACAAACTCACCCCAGAGGGCTGCACATAAGACATCGGAGTTGAACCTCTTCTGATACTTGTGTATCTCTGGAGTATCGTTATTCTCAGTGCTGACAGTGGGTGCCACGTTAACGTTAATGTGCGAGCCTCTGCTCGGCAAGCTGGAGAGGGTGGAGAACTGTCCAGTCATTATCGAGTTGTTGTTGATGTTGTTGCCGTAGTGGTGGGTGCTGTTGCTTGTGGTGTTGCTGCTGATGTTGTTGTTGTTGTTTAAGTTGCTGAGGTTGTTGCTGTTGTTGGCGCTGGCGTTGTTGTTGGCTCCGAAACCGAACGCTTGGAATGAACGCATAGAAGAATGTTTACTGATGCCCTGTATATAAATGTGTGTGTGTGTGTGTGTGTGAATTTGTGTGTTTGAATGTTTGTATGCCTATGTGTGTATAATGCTTGCGTGTGTGTGTGTGTGTGTGTGTGTGTGTGTGTGTGTGTAAGTATGTTCAACAACAACACAGCAGCAGCAGTAACGACAGAAACCTCACCTCATCTCCGAACGAGTTGCCGTCAAAAACCTTTCTCCCAGCCACACTATTTCTTGGCGGAATTTGGGGCGGGAGAAGATCGGGCAAGTCGCCAGAGGCAAAATTGCTTCCGCTACCACAGCCACTCCTGCTAACATCGCTACTGTTGCTACTACAGCCACCGACGCTTTTGTTCGAGTCAAGCGATCTTGAGGTTGTAACTTTCTGCGTTGTTGTTGTTGTTGATGTTGTTGTTGTTGATGCTGCTGCTGATGGCTCATGATCTTTGTGCTGTTACGGATGTTGTTGTTGTTGTGAGAAAACAGGAAGAAGATTATGAAATAATAAAAACAATAAAATAATAATAATAATAATAAAAAAATAAAACTATAAAAAAGAGAACGTTAGATTTTGTTTACGGCCAGACAACTAATCCGACAAAGGATATACAATGTTATTAATGACCACTATACTTCAACATTAACCGCAAGGCACAACAACAACAACAACAACAAAAACATCAACAAAAACATCAACACCAGAACTTCAAATAACGACATCAATAACAACGACATTAATTCAATAATAAATAACAATAATTCAAAAACAACAACAACAACAACAACGTCAACATCAGCAGCAGCAGCAACAACAACACATCAACATTATGCATGGCGCGAATAGATAAGGTTCAGCAAACAGACAAGCTTAACACACGACCTCTAGCCAACTTATAAAAGCAATAAGACAATTAAACATTTTATTTCTCTCTCTCTCTCTCTCTCTCTCTCTCTCTAAACTCTCTCTCTCTCTCTCCCTCTCTCAATCTACTCTCTCCCTTTCAAAAACCAGCACTATCACCAATAATATTCAACAGTCATTGACTTGAAATCCCAAAAAAGGGAACGTTTGAATGAAAGTTGAACTAATCAGCCTTCAAAAAAGGCGCGTTTTTGAATATCAGTAGCAGCAGTAAAACAACAACTACTACTACTACTACTAATACTACAGAAACAACAACTACTACTACAATTCCTACAACAACAACAACAACTACTACTACTACTGCTACTACAATTCCTGCAACAACAACAACTACTACAACTCCTACCACTACTACAACAACAACCAGCAATGATACTACAGCGACAAAAACGCCAGGACAGCAGCAGCAACAACAGCAGCAGCAGCAGCAAGAAAAAAAAGATTGCTAATTGCAGCGGAGGGCATGGGAAGATGTGTGTAAATAATGATAAGCATTAATGGGTCGATGGCGAAACGTTATTATTTACAGCTACTATCGCTACTACTACGACCACTACTACTAGTACCACAACAGCTACAACAGAAACCACAACGGCATAAGCGGCTATGGCGACAGCATTAATAGCACACAACGTCAGCAATAGCGATACAAAAAATTATAAAATATAAAAATGATAAAAACACAACAACACACACACACACACACGTAGCAACCATATCTCCAACAACAAATACATTACAGACACAACAACAACATCAACAAACAAAAAAACAAACAAACAGACAACAAAACATTTGTATAAGGGCATTAAGTTGTCAGCCTGTGCAGACATTAATTTGGCTCGTTTAACTTAAATGAGTGCTATATCTATCGGAATTACTGAAGATGTCAATGTTTCCTTTTTTGTATTTGTATTTTCCGGTACATTTTAAGGCATTTTTTGGTATTTTTCTTTGTATCATCTAAATTTTTCTGTATGTTTGAAAAAAATTTTTATTTAGAATTTTGTATTTTCTTGCGTTATCTTGCATTTTTGTTGCGTGTTGCAGGGTATTGTCTGGTATTTTGGGTATTTTTGGTGACGACTGAAGCTCTAGGCACACAAATATGCTTGCCGGCATGCTTCGATGGAAATGTTATATTTTTCAAACAGTTTTTCAGTATTTTTACGGTAGACTTTCAGTAATTTTGCTTCGTATTTTGTGTTTTTTGTTGTATGTTTTGTTGTATGTTTTGTATTTCTGTGCAGTTTTTTGGTGACGACAAAAGCTCTAGGCATGCTGGGACGTCAATAAAACGTTTTTGTTTCGATTTTCAATTTTTTTTTGAGTTTTTCTGTGTTCTTTTATAACCATATCAAATTTTTCTTTTTTGAAGTTATTTTATCTTTCTATTATTATTGATAATTGCTGCAATTATTTCCATTTAGCGTTTGACTGCTAGTATGTAGAGATGCATATGGGTGTACGTACGTATGTGTGTGTGGATATGTGCGTGTGTGTGTGTGTGCGTGTGCGCGCGTGTGTATAAGTTTAGTCAGTGCATGTGAAGGATCCTTCGGAAGTAAATAAACACATAATGGGCTTCTTTCAAAATGACGTTAATGACAGCATGGAAGAAAAAGTGATGACGATGGTGACGTAGGAATAACAACAACAACAACAACAATAATAATAACAACAACAACAACAATAACAATAATGACAATAACAACATCATGGAGGCATCAAAGAAACCATCCGAAATAATAATGCCATCATCCTTCAGCCAACTGCATCAAATGT